TGTACCATTGGCAAAATGTACCTACGTCAATGGCCCGTTTCAGCCGGCAGTTAACTAACCCAAGATTGTAAACTGTCCCTAAATATTCAGGGACAGAAGACAACCTTAATACAAAAGACAAATGAGTTTTCACCAAAGGATACGTGCATGGAATTTGTTCACTTGACGCCATGACCCTCCCGATAACCTTCAGTTCATATGCGGTCGTTAGTACATTCCAAATACGATATAAAGGCATCACCGCAAAGACGAAAAACGATATCTCGTAGTTTTCATCAGTCTTTCGAAGCGGACCAAGCTCACTTTCAAAATGTAAGTTTTGTGTGCATATATATTTTGATATACGTTGTGATGACTGTATATCTGTGCGTCACAGTTGCTCTCATATAAATTCAATTCAATTCAATTAATTCTTTATTGCGATTTTGCTATTATATTTAAGTTATTTGAAAAATTAAAAGATCGCAAGTTCAACTAAACATGTACCGAACGTAGGTACATTTTTGCGTATTCCAAATATATCAAATAGATACATTTTACGATTTTCAGTTGTTTTACTAATTATAATACGTACACATAAAGGACTACTATCGTCATCTTATGTTAATTTTTATATATGTTTTGTCTGACATGAGCAGGCCTCTCTTATTCAACAAAGACAAATATAAACCATTTATATATGATTCACGTTTTTTCTAAATCATCAATGTTTTTGTTTAGGCCATTCATTTGCATAAAGGAGGACAGTGATGCCCCGTCGATATTTTCCCCCGTTCACGAGGAGCTCACATTGGACGATTTAAGTAAGTGATGCTTATGATAATACAACGTGCGTTTATTAGAAAAGCTATATAAGAGATATGACATATATTATGAAGATATCTTACATACATATTATTATAAGTTGTATTTGTTATATAGAGTACGAATATCAATCCTAATATAGTGACTTAAACTATGTCGCTAATACGTGTGCTTGATATGTATGGGCGCCGTTCTCACCTCTTCGAAAGGCAGGAGTGATAATCACTTATTGAAAATTTGAATTGTTGATATTACTCATTGAGTGAGCGCTATCATCAAATCGAATCGATGATGATATCAACAAATTGGATTGAAATATAACACAGTGGCCATATATATAAGTATCTGTATGATTTGTAACATTGATTAATCGACGGCGACTGTATGTGAGTGTTTTAATGGTTACATGCATCAGATTGCATAAAACTTTTCTCTAGACATCCGTGTATGCTTTAATGTATTCGTGATCCATCGAAGATCGACAGAATGCTACAATTTCAGTTTGATATGTAAATGAGGCTAATATCATATTAGCTAATATTGTTATTAATACATGCAACTAGGGATTTTGAAACATGGCTTGTTTGTTTTATAGGGACAGCATTTCCGCATATTACGTCATTGCGTTATGAATATTCTGCAAATGGGCAGATCCATCATATATTATGTAGGAATGGAGTCTTCGTCGAACCAGAGGGCGGATGGGGGAAAAGTGAAAGGATTTTTTTGCACTGTTTGCGATACAACTTGTACGTACTTTGTGATTTGAATTGATATTTTAACGAACCAGTATTGGTCTGAATGAAATTTGAATGTCTGTATTTACGAAGTCATAAAATGACACTAAAAGTAGAAAACGAACTCGTTTGTTTGGGGTTTTACGTCCTTGCAAACAGGTAAGGTCATACAATGTTTAAGGACAGGTGTCTAGGGAGACATCACTGAAACGAAAGAGTAGGTAAGAAAGTTAGAAAAATATGTACTGTACCGGATCAGAATAATGTTCGTATACTTATGTTTGACCGTCTTTGACTGATCAGATAATTGTTGTTATGTATACAATTCTTTGGAAATCTTATTGATATCAACTTAGTTATAGGCATTAACAAGTTTCAAACCTTATATTAAGAACATGATATATTTACATTTTATAACAGCAGAGAAGTAATACTAACAGTGCGGATAATGAGATTTGTCGAATTTCCGAGACAATTCGACCCTTTGTCAAGACCAACATATAGAGTAATTAAATGACACAAAATATATAACAAAACACAGAAAAATAGCTATCACTGAATAATATGCTGATTTTAAAGCATATTCCTTCAGACGGCTGGTAGCGGAAAGCTTATCTATTATATCAAACGCATCTTTTGATGGTGTACTGAGAAGAAATACGGTTCTATATTTGACTTGTGTTATCTAACTGTTCCACATTTATTTCTTAACAAGGGGGCGGATTGCCTCGGAAATTCGACAAACCTCATTGTCTACACTGCCGGTAAAACTTCTCTGCTTGTATATTAATTTAAGTAATATGTATCCAACGAACTTTCCTTTTTTCGAATCCAGTGCCCATATTGGAACAAACCGTCGCTTTAAAGTATGAAACATACAAATATGTATAATCAAAAACAACGAAAACAGTTGATGACGGCATGATACATTATCGGTATTGTTCTAAGCAAAATACATTTTGGTCCTAAAATGTTTAACTACTCAAATCTACATCTTTCCAGCGAATGCTGCAAGATCTACTCTGTTTGATACTTATCGGTCACAATTAAGCAATAGAAACAAGGCTTCTACTTCTAATGCGAGAGCAGCTGGCAGTTCTAGTAGTACAGTTCAACGACACCACGAGAGACCAGCTACTGTTATGGTAATTACGAATATATATATATATCATAAGTCATGATATGAATGAGATGGTTATTATCTAATTTTGTGTATGGTTCATTACTTTCATATGAATATTTTACTGATCAAACTGAATTTTATTATTGTGTCACTTGTGTCAAATGTGTTAATATGTGTTAGTAATGGCGGCAACTGCATAGAGACTTTTTATTGATATTTCAAAAGAAAAGTTATTTAACTTGCAGGTTTAAGTCGGCATTGGACGATTTAGAAATGGAGTATTTCGCAAAATATCTGCACACAGCCTTTCTGCAACTGGAGGTCAAGTGGTAGTCGGTCCATTTCCGAAAAGCACAAATACAGTAGAGGCAATTCAATTGGCTGCATTCGAGAAATTCCGCTGTTCGAATCGTTCATTTAGAAACACGTACACTAGGAGTGAAAGGTTCTACTTGGTGTACAACGACGGGACTATCATTGATAAACTCCCAGACAAGTGCGGAGATTTCTCCATTAAAGGTAATTTCGTGAATCCCAAACTAAAGTATGACCGGATCAGATTTTTCCTCTGTGAAAAGGGTTAGTATACATTTCAAACTTTAGTTAGTTAGACTTTGAACGTTCAACAAAAACACAGTCACCTGAACTGTTATTAACTGTACCAGTTGCTATACAAATCATATAAAAATACTAAGTACATATACTCGTTTTTCTTATCTAATATTTCACGTTAGTAATTAAGTTGTTTACGATGAAAACGAACATTAGAGGATAGGAAGTGAGCATTATCATAACATTTATATTTTGTTACGGATGTTTGTGCAGTTACATTTCTCTTGCTCTTTTTTTAACATTCAGCTGATCTACAAGACGTTGAAATCGTAACGGATTCAAGTTCCTCGTCAGATGATCTCCCTGAGCTGACATTTTCTCGTCAGCAACAGAGTGATTCCATTGATTCCACACTTTCCTTGGTCATGGATGTGAGCTTTTATATTGAATCGAATTTATTTGCAATGAGTCGTTTCCTAATAACTCAGCCATTTCGGTAAGTATAAACTGGTGTATAACATATTTTAGAACGATCATATAGAAAATTATCCTTCATCTCTCTCTCTCTCTCTCTCTCTCTCGTTTGGTATGAAAAGAGGTGAAAGTGCTGGGAAACTCTATTCCCTTTGTTTATATAAACATATTCCTTACATAAATTTCCGCACTGATGCTAGAGCTGCTCTGATTATATTCAATTACAATTGTTCGGATTCAGCTCCTACTTTAGCAAACAACCTGATACATACATAAATTGCCAACACATTATATGACATACTAAGCGTGCCATATTTTCCATCAAGCCATTTGTTTAAAACAATAACGGTTTTTGTTTCAAACAAAGATCCTGCTGAAATATCTGAGCGACGGACACAAAGTGGGTTCGGCGGATGAGGGCGAGACTGTCACCCTAAAATTTCACGATAGATGTCTGCGACTTGATGATAGACTCATCGAGGTGTCCGCCACATCACACGTGCGCATGGACGTGGAAATAAAGAAAACAAGGTTGATTTTGTAATATAAATAAACAATTAGAAAATGGCAAATTAAAACAGACAAGTCAGTGGCAGTCTTTTGTTTTTCGCCTCATATAAACGTTGTGTGCATTTTATATCTACGTATATCTCACATTTAGTTTTAGAGATGGGTGGTTGTGGCTGCAAGTTAGGGTAATACTTCTGTTATTCAATTGATATTTGTGATGCAAAAGTTACAATATATTAGCATCGTATTATTATATTGATCATTCTGATTGTTTCAGTGATGGAGCAAGTAACGATGTTGGGATTGAAGATGTAGGTGTCAGGTAAAAATCTTATGCATCGCTGTGTTCATATTTATCGAAACAAGCGCTGTTTCCGAGATAAAGTAGTATTAAGCTGTAATATTTTTAAAAGTATTTAATATGAAAGGACGCATTCCTAAGTAGTAATGTATATTTTATTTTTATTTCAGTAGCATACCGGGGGTTTCTTTAACAATGCGGATGTTCAGAATAGAATTGTAAAAAAAACACTGGACCAGATGTAAGTAGCAATATGTTTTATTACAGAATATATTCTGTTATGGTGTGTATACAGATATGTTTTGTCAGTTATATTTATTCAATTTTATTATTCGTTGTGGCTTCTTACAGTGACGATAGGAAGGAGCCAGTTTCCATTCTGCGCTGTTACAGGGACATCTTTCTCCGAGGGAGACCCCTTGACGTAGATGCTATATCTATTTGCCCAACCGGAGAAACTGCATGTATTTTCGTCGGCCGGAACAGCATTCTAAATGATATGACCACTGAGATTGTTGAAGTCCATAATTTGAGATTTCTATTGGAAGTAAACTTTTATGGCGAAGAAAGTGAAGACTTTGGTGGTCCTCGCAAGGAATTTTTTCGTCTTGCCGAGGAGGCGATCAAGACACGTCTTTGTGAGGAAGCTGACAACCTGAAGCTGGACGACCTACACGTAGCATCTAAAACATTTTACGTTGCCGGGATTGTCCTAGAAAATTTACCATTTTTGTTCGCCTTATTTCACATCATTCTTTACCTATACGCATTCCTGCATGCACCACTGAAAACAATACAATATCAATATTCACTTTGCTTTGTATGTTTTTTTTTAAACAATTGAAATAGTTCATATGTTAATAAAGATAAAATCATATACGAGAAACAAATGCAATTGTTGAGGTTTCGTTCGTCGCTGGGAATGTCAGCAGTGAATATACGGTAAATGCTACAATTTATGGCCAAATAACAATATAACTGTGTTTCCCGTTTCCCGACCGACCCTATTTTTTCATGCCGAGCCTAATCCATATTATTGAATTGTGTAACTGTCACTGTTATGCCTTTATTAGCTATTCAATTTTTCAAAGTGTAGATATAATTTGCTATGTATTTTATCAGCCTTGGCTTGTGGTTAATATAGTGTTAATATTAATGTACTTTATTTGTTGTTCAATTAATTTGAACTGGTGGCAGTGGAAATAGTGAACAGAAAGCATCAGTACTACAAAAAGAACGTAATACTGGTGACCATCAGTGGAGTTAAACTTTGTGTCCAGCAGTAAGAATGATTTTTTTATTTGTGTATTTATTTTACATGAATCGAAAATTATGTATTTCGTGTCATTCATACTTAATTAAAACAAATGAATATTTTTAACATTCAAGGAGGTAATCAGATTTTCTTCACCAGAAAACTATATAAAATAAAACAAAATAACATGTTTTTCCTACCTACCTATCTATTTTTTGTAGCCGAAACAGGAAACACCCACACATTCTTGTTTGGCCCTACATGTCTTACAAATAAACTGGGTCGGACATACCTGTGTTTGGGGCTAATGGCTTTAAAGCATCGTTAGCTCTGTAACGATGAACTCGTGCACGTATTATGAGGGCTATTTATTTACGCAGTGCATTTCATTAATCAGGATCAGGTCTGGTCTGGCCTCAACCTGTGATAAGAGTTGCTGTTTCACCATTCATCAATGTCATATCAATTAACTATGTGTATTTGATATTGATGGACAACCGTTTATATATATGGAATAATGGAATACTTTTTAACATATCAAGATTGCTTTAAGCATACCTTGCTCATTTTACATTGTAAGTATCGAGTAATATGTCTGATTTTATCGTCGATATTTCTTTTCGGAGCTAACCATTCGTATATCAAGACACAAAAATAGACAAATAGTGACAGAGAATAAACATAAGACAAAAATAGGTGATTGCACCTAAGAAATCTAGTAATAGATACAATATATAATCATTACACGGCACTATATATGTATATATATAGTATAATATAATGGAAAACAATTCAAACTTGACTTCATTTTGACTAAATTTAGTCTGAAGCAATGTTGGGTGAAGGGGACTATAAATAGAGGTGTGCTATTTCAATGTCACCCGAAAATAGATTTCGCGCGTGTTTTCACACAAGGCATTGTATTTGTGTTTAAAGTGAAAGGCGAGCTATCGGGATTAAATAGTGAGTCGGTTTGCATCAACACTGAGTGTCACTTCCCTCCTCCACACGGTATTTAAATTCATCACAGGTGTCAGATAATTGATTCGGACAACGGCTACAGAGATTAATAGCTATATTAATAAACACATTGTCTAAATGATTGATTGATTGAACAAAACAATTTGAGATCACGTTTTTCATACTTTAATTTGTTATGATATTCTGTGTTTCCTTCTCAACACTAAACAATATTGCTCTATATTGTTATAAGTAAATATTTGCATTTAAAGATATATATCTGTTTTACCGTCAACTTTGATATTGTTGACCTTAAAACTAGGAAATTATCATAGATGCGTTTTCTTTGACATATAAAGCCATCAACCTAAAGACGGATATACAATGGTTTGAAGTATGAAATTTTAAGTCTGTCTCACTTTAAATCTCTCCTATAATCATGTAATGTTAGATTTACCTCATCAAATATCTAAACTGAATTAAGAAACTGTTACGTAGCTCCGGTATTATAGCATAATTTTATAATCATATAGATAACTATGAAAAAAGATGATTGTTTAAGATCCAATTGGTTTCAGTCATCTTTTGATCACTTCACTATTAATCACGAAAAGTGGTCTAGCATACTCTATAAATCAGCGAAAATATGATACATAATTGAAGTAGTTATCAACTAACTAACATAAACATTAGAACTTTAAAACTATAATTAATGATACATATACATCTACCAAGTGGGGTTTAACCAACTTAAGATAGTATAAGATGCGAGTGATATACTTAAGAGCTAGATTGCTTTTTAGGTCACCTGAGACAAAGTCTCAAGTGACCTATTGCGATCGCCTTTTGTCCGTCGTCGTCCGTCGTCCGTCGTGCGTCCGTAAACAATTTACATTTTCGACTTCTTCTCCAAAACCCCTGAACCAATTTCAATGAAATTTTGCAGGGACCTTCCATGGACAAAGGTCAACAAAA